ACACATGGGCCAGGCAGGGCTGGCCGACGCCCACAGTACCCCAGGACAGTCCAGCTTTGCGGGTGGGACATCAGCGTGCACTGTAAGTGTCACCGCAGCCACTGGGGGCGGGCCTTGCGTACACTGCACGTTCTGTTTCTCTCTGAAAGGGCAGGGATGTCAGGACAGACTGCACGGGGACACCTGCCAGGGACAACACGGCCTCGGAAGACTTCTGGGGGAAGCCTGGGAAGGAGCACAATGCCAGGGGGCCCAGGGCGACAGGCTGCCCAGCCCGATGGGGCCTCTCCTCAGCACACGCCCATGCCCTGGGTGCTCTAGACCGCTGCCGGTCCTGCGCCGGCCACGGATATGCGCGACTGCCCCTCCAAGGGCTGCCGGTCCTGCGTGTCTGGTTTCTTCTCAACCAGGAACAAGCAGGGACCGAAGCCCCTGATCTCTTCACTTTCTAGCTAGATTTTCACTCAGCCATGACTAACCCTAACCCTAACCCCATTCCCCTGGATGCCGCGGTCCGTAAACACCACCTTGAAGCTGCCCTTTCATCTGGCCCCGAGGGGCTGGATGACGAACGATCTGAATCAGCACAAGGGAGTTCGACAGGCATGTGCCTGCTAGAGGCTGCCATGGCACGGACCATGACCTCCACCTGCAGCAGGCAGGGCAGCCAAGCACGACCTGCTCTGGGACCGCCCAGCCTTCCCCCTGCACACCAGAGCTGAAGCCACACACTCCTGTATTTCAGACCGACTGTCTCACACGCATCTCACACGCACGGCGTGGAGGCAGACCCACCAGGGAGGTGGCCGGCACCAGACTCCCAGGAGCTGAGCAGGCACAGCTGCGGCCCCAGCACCAGGACAGGAAGCAGCATCCCATCGTGGAGGAGGTGGATGCACTCGGGCAGCTTAAAGGGACAGAGCTTTCAACAACCAGACTCCAGTGTGAAGACGGGACAGGCGGGCCAGACCAGGCACCGACGACAGGGCTGCACCGAAGGGCTCCCGCTGGAGCGTGGGAGCAACCCCCCCACACACACGCAGGTGCTGCGCGGTCCCCCAAGTGTCAGCAAGAAGCGCTGCTCAGAAGCAGCCCCACTGATGCTGAGCTCCAGGCTCCCCGGAGCCACTGCCTGTGTTCGCAGGACAGACTTGCGCTCGCTCCCAGCTGGATTGTCACGGAAATACCAGAGACGACAGCAGGGCAGCCGCACCGTGTGCAGGTCCCTCACTCACACCCACAGCCTCGCCCCCACAGCCCGAGCAGGCGCTGCTGCATCACAGCTCTGCAGCATGGAGGGCCAGGTGGCGGCCCAGTCTTCCGAGGCAGGCAGCCAGCTCCTTCCAGAAACCTGGTCACGGTGTCTTGCAAAGCGGATTGGGTGACCCGGAGGTTACCTCCCGGCCAGCTGGCATGACCTCTGGAAAATGCTCCTATTCTAATGTCCCTGTAATTATTGCCAGAGAGCCACGAACGGGCTGATTTCAGCCTGCCCTGTCATATTATGATCTAAGAAGCCAAGCCCTAAATCGACAAGAGCTATTTGCTGAGAGCCAGAACTATGAAACGTGACCGGAGTCACACAGAACCCAAGAAGTGTACGAACTTGTTGACAAACGGTATTTTTTCTAAAATCAAGGTTTAACTATCAAAAATAAATTTCTAAATTCGAATGTATCTGTCAACATAATTGGTCTGTAGTAACTGTCTCAAATGATTCTCGTACTTTCCAAGCACGAGTGGATGTGGCATAGGGGCCGCTCAGCCGTGGCAATCCTGCTTAGGGTCTTCCTCGATGCCTCGTGCGAAGAGTCGGACCAGCTGGCAGTGCACCCTGCAGAGAGACAGCCGTGCTCAGCCCCCACGCGTTCCCCACTCATGGCTGGCCTCGGGGAGCAGGTCCCGGGCACACAGAGACTCGCGCGCCCGAGAGGCCTGGTTTGTAAAGGGACGCGGCACCAAGTGGAAGGCCCGGGCCACGACAGACCCAACTCGGACGCTCACGGCCTGCTGGACTGCTAGCAGCGGGCCACACAGCACCCCTCCACCCTGTCCTCCTGGGCGCCGAGCCCTCCGGGCATGGAGGAGACGCTCAGGAAGACTAGTGGCCCTGTGCTGGCAGGCTCCCGGGTATTTGAGGAGTGCATCGGGGTCCCCGGAAGGCCTGGGCAGGCATAGCAGGCCCCTGGGTCCCAGTCAGCAGGGCCATCTCCCCACAGAGGGGGGCCATGGCGGCTTCGCTCGTTAGTGTCAGCGCAGCCTCCTCAGATGCCTCATGATGGTGACAAACCACAGGTGACGGGTTCAAGGCCAGCAAAGTCTACCAGACACACAGACAGCGCTTCAAGGGTGCCCTGCCCTGTTTCCTCAACGAGCACCTAAGCCAGGGTGAGCTGCCGCGCCTTCCCCCCCACTCGCAGAATGAGCCCACAGAAGCCAGCCCCTGCACAGAGCTGACCAGTGGGTCTTTTGGAGCCTCTGGCAGCCTCCTGTCCTTGGGTGTGCAATGCCAGGTGACCACGGCCACACTGACAGGGACGGGGCTGGAGACCCTCCTGCTGGCTCCGTGGGATGCGGTGGGTGGTAGCCCTCTCCAGGTTGCCACATGGCAGGCAGCTGGCCAGCTGGGAGTCTTTTAGCCTGGGGTGCTGTGAATGGTGAGGTGGCTGCACTGTCACTGCTGCCACCTGCTGCACCCAGGCCCATGGCCAGCGCCGGCTCACGCAGTGGGGGCGGGCTGCCGGGCGGGCCTCTGCTCTCCCTCAACACGACCTGTGCTGCCCTCAGCGAGCGTTCACTTCGGCTTCCGTGAAGTAGACCAGGTTGTAAAGACATCCCTCGTGGTACAAGACACCTAGAATCTGAGAGGTCTCCCCAATCTTATATGAGATAATACAAAAGCACTTAAAAAAACAGACTACTTTACTGTGTCTCTACGTGGGGAAAAGAACGTCCTTCGTGGGGCCGGCAGGTAGCGTGGTAGCTGGGATGATGGACTCCCACACGGCTGGCCACGGTTAGAGTCCTGGAACCAGTGGCTTGAAAACCACACTGGACACATGTGCACGTGTGCTCAGTAACCAGGAGGAGAATGGAGAGGGGATTGTGGCACAGTTGTCTCCCTGGGGTGATTTTTCACTTTCCCTCTCACCGTCTCTGTCTCTCTCTACCGAGCACTAGTGCCCTGTGGCACAAACCTTAAAAGGAAAGGAACGTCCTTGTCCTCGTCTTCCCTCTGACTGTCACGGGTGTAACTCAGGTCCCCCACCAGGCCCAGCAGCCCAGCGTGGGAGGACACAGTGCTGCATCCAGCAGGCCAGCCAGGGGCGTGGGCCCCTTTGATCTGTGCTGCCCTGCGGAGAGGAGGGCGGCGAGGCAGGCCAGGCCCTGTGGGGCCCCTTGGCTGGTCAGGCAGCCTCATGGCTCTGACCTCTCCTGTGTGCATCCTGGCCCAGCCACACTAGACTCCCTGGGTCTCCCAGGCTGGGCAGCCTCCACACCCCATGGTCCCCTTCGGTGGCTCCCCGTCCCTGCTCCCAGCTCCCTTTGCCTCCTGCTGCAGCACCGGCCCCCCAGACTGGGCCCCGGCTCAGGGCGGCTGAGTGTGGTCCCGTGAGGCGGAAGGTCTCCTGGTGGACTGGTTGGTGGGCAGGACCTGGGCGGTGCCCGTGAGGGCAGTTCCACATATTTACAGCTGAGCTTTTCGGGAGGGGGAGGAACACCAGGGCAGAGAGACCGAGGTCTGCAGCCAGCCGGGCATGGGCGGGAAGGGAGGAAGGGACAGGCCGTGAGCAGCTCCGGAAGTTAGCTCCGCACCCCGGCACTCCCGGGACTCGGCCTCCGCAGGGCAAGCGCTCACCTGACTTCGATAGCGGCGCTGTGCAGGATCTCGCCGTCACAGTTCCAGGAGCTGCGGGCGGCCGCGCTGCAGCAGGAGGGGCGGTCGCTGCAGATGTGCCCCAAGTGCTTCTTGCCAGGCTCCTGCAGGTCCCCGTCCTCGTCCTCGGCATGCTTCGACGTGAACTGGAACTTCTTCACGCGGTGAACCTCGACGAACGCGAAGTCAAACTGCCGAGAGAAGGGAAACCGGGCTCTGGACCTCCTGTGTAGCTAGCAGGCAGGTGACGGCGCCTCCCGCTGCACACGGGGCCTTGGCCGAGCGCGCGGCAGCCCCGAGCTCCCTTTCCAGCCCTGTGAGTGCGGAGGGAGGAGCAGCCAGGGGCCTGCCTTCCGGGCCTTGTGGTGGTTTCCAGAACCCATAGCTCCTCTACAATGGCGAGCACCCGTACAGAATCACTCAGCAAAGATGTGCGGAATATTCTCTCCATTTGTCAGAGGGTGCCTGCGCTCACAAGAGGCAGCAGGAGAGAGAGGTGAGGAAATGCCCCATGGGGCACGGTCACGCTGCAGCCCCTTCCCCATCTCGCCTCCTCTAGGGTTTGCTCACGCACACACAGGCTCAGTTGTTCTCAAGATGCAAGTCTCAGACACGAACCACGCGGTTAGCCACAGGGGCCTAGCCAGGCCATGGCTGGCTCAGAGCATTCTCCTTTCAATGTGTGCTATTTTTAAAATGTCCCATATAAAACAGCCTTGGACTAGGTCTTAAATATTGGATTGGAAAAGTCTTGATGTTTTTCCACACAAAAATGCATCATGACTCTCCCGATGACATGACACGATGGAAGCATAAAAACAAATTTTACTATGACTGGGGGCTGTGGCCAAAAGCTCCAGACGTGCCAGTGCCGTCGGACTGCGAGCTGCCAGTGTCAGCAGGCCAGTCGGCAGAAGGAGCTGAATGGCACCCATTTCTGGGAGCCTAAGATGTTACTTTGTATCCTGCAAGAGCAATCTGAAACTTTATCATCCCGGTGTTCTGCTGTTAAACAGGAAGAGAAATGACCAGTAAGAAATCATATGAACAATTGTATCTAGCAGTTTCTTTCCTCAAAGATTTATGTTTCTTTGTTTTTTTTTTGAGAGGTTTTTGGTATAGGGTGCGTGCGCTCGCAGAAAGACATAGAGACAGAAAGCAAGAAATCACCCCCAGGGGGATGGTCACGCTGCAATCCCTTCTCCTCTCGGGATCTTGGGCACGCACGCACACGCGCCCGAAGTGAGTTTAAGCCACTGGGTCCGGGACTTGAACCGCGGTAGACTACGTGGGAGTCCAGCGACATAGCCATTACGCCAACTGCCGGTCCCATGTTTTTAACTGAAGTTTGTAAGGAGTAGCCACGAGCAAGAGTCGCTAACTGGTGAGTCAGTGCAGAAAGGCTGGTGACGTGCCTCGGGCACAGGCTCCACGTTTCCTGCTCTGAGAGCTCCTCTGCCTCCAGGTAATAGGTACACTGTTCTAGGCGATCTCGCCGTCAACTCAACTCACTCCAGGGCCTGAAGGCACTTCAACGTTGACACGCTGTCCCTCCTCCCTTTGAATTAAAGAACAGACTCCTTTGATACATGTCAGGGGCAGCTCAGATTTAAACTACTTGCCAACATAAATCTTGCAGCAGGGCTGGCTCTGTGGCCTCGCGGCTAAGGGAGTCGGATCCCATGTGGCTTATAGCATGGTTCGAGTCCTGGCTCTGGCAGCTTGAAAAAACATGCGAGGTGAGTGTGCGTGCCTAAAATCCCAGCAGGGTAGGGAAACGGAGAAGGGGCTGTGAGGAGACCACCACAGAGGTGCTTGCTCCCTCTTCCCGGTCTCTGGCAAGTGTACATGCCGCTCTGAGGGTAAAACAGGCAACCACCCCATCAATCGTGTGTGCAAGCGTCTTGCTTACCTGATCGTAGTGGTTGGTGTGCCTGAGAAGAAATCTCAGAAAATTGAACCTGGAGCATTTGCGGATGAGGATGAGGTCGGAAGACCCATCTCCCAGGTGGGCGGCTGGGGAGAGGCCCCTAGGGCTCCGGGGACAGGCACAGGACATGTTCGTGGCATTGATGGCTAGAAACTTCCCACAGACAACTTGCCACTCTTCCACCTCCTCTGAACAGAAAGGCACGGTGGGTGTTACAGGCGGGGGTGCAGCGGGGGCGGGCAGGCAGATGAGGTCACCCCACGGCCCCTCCCCACTGGGCCACACACCTTAATGCAACTGGCTCATTGTCACCGACACCAAAATGCCCACGCCTGGCCGCAGCAAGCTGGACTGAGGACTGGGCCCAAGGAAGGCGGGGCTGAGCCACTGTTCCTCGCAGCGACTTTGGAACGGTGGCATAGGCGGGATCAGTGGGCTGCAGTGTGGCCACAGTAGAGTGGCCACCACCTGTCTGCGTGTCTATGCTCAGCAGGGTTTTTACATTTTATACAGGTTAAAAAAAACAAAGGACGATGGTATTTTGTGACATGTGAAAACTGAAGCTCAGAACTCAGTGTCCATGAGTAAAGTTTTGCTGGGGACAACCATGCCCATTCACTTATGCCACCCGTGGCCTCTTGCGCTGCTCAGCCGACAGGCACGGTGTGCATGGCCACACGCTGCGCTACACTCGCCGACCCCCTGTCCAGTGCGTGGGGATAGCCCGGCTCGGCCTCACAGCAGCAGCCTGGAGCTCACACGGCCTGTTCCCGGAGACCGTCCCCAGCAGTGGGGCACTGCTGCCTGGACCAGGGGGAAACAGCACACACAGAAAACAAGGAAGAAAAGCTGGCAGCGGAGGGGCGGTGGACTGAAAGATGGCAAAAGCCAACACTCTGATGCACACAGGTAGGAGACTGGGTCTGTTCAGAAAGACTTACCAGTGCTCTCTAAGCCGTACAGTGCCTTTTTCTGCTCCTCTTCCAGCTGTTGCTTGCTTTGCCTGCAAACGAAGCATCTGAAAGACAAAAATGTTATCACCTCCTCTTTAATATGTGACAATGAAGTACTCACACTCAGCACATCTGAAGTCTTTAATTTCTTCTTCTGGAGCCGGCAGGTGGTGTGGTAGTTAAGGGCATTGGACTCCCATGTGGTCAATCATGGTTCAAGTCTCAGACCAGGCGGCTTGCTTTCTCTGTCTCCTTCTCTGACCCAATTAAAATAAGTAAATAAATAAAGTTAAATAAAGTAATTATTTAAAAATAAAATTCTTCTTCTGTGATAAAAAGTTCAATCCCAAAGGCTTACCTATAAATACCTTTTTTTTGAATACTAGTTTAAATTATTGAAATTAGATCTACTTTTAAAATCAACACATCTTTCTCTAAAATTTATGGACAGTATAAACAGCCTAATCTGGGGACCAGCAGGTGGTGTGTAGTTAAGACTGTGGACCCATACATGGGCGACCACGGTTCAATTCCTGGACCTGACAGCTTGAACATCACACATGCATGCCGAAAGTCCCAAGAGGAGAATGGAGGATAAGGGACTGCGGTGTGGCCGCCTCCCCGGGGGTAATCTCTCCCTTTCTGTCTGTCTCTGGTGGGCGCAGGCCTGATCTGAGGACACCTGCGTGACCCTAGCCACGGTTTTGCTTGGCCTTGCCCCTAGCAAAGCACCGGGTGGGAAACAGCAATGGTACAGATCCCCGGTGACCGTCCCGGTGAAAACCAAGGAAGGAGCCCTAAGCAGGTACTTCAGAACTTGCTCATCAGTCTGCGATGTCCCTTCTTGGCCTTGGGGGCCTTTACCCTCTGCCCTGGCACACCGGATGCGTGTTCGCACTGCTGAGATCCGCACCTCGGGGGCTGGGTTTAGTGGTGCACTGACTGAGAGGGCATTAGCCTCTAAGGAACCCGACGTCGCGGCCTCAGACTCCTCATGAAAGAAGGCAGGCGCCCGGGAAGGACGCTCCCGATCTGAGGGCCTGAGAAAGGACAAGGTCGTGTTGTTCAAGACCTCAGCCAGGTCCTCACCAACCAGGGCGGTAAGCCTCGAGAGGCCCCAGGAACTAACGTGGCCACATGGTCTGGAAAAGCGAACTGTAAGACTTGTCTACACTCCTGCTTCACACGGGTCAGATGGACTCGGACACGGTGTGTGGGTGGGGCGTGGTATCAAGGGAGTTGCTAAAAAAGTGGCCTCTTGCATTTTCCACCCACCGGACTCCCAAAGAGGGCAGAGGCACGCCGACAAGGAGCCGGATGGGTGATGTGCGTCCTCGCTCCAGCAGGAGAGGACTCAGCCCGGCACAGGGACACGGCTGCAGGTGAGATGGCTCTGGCACAGTGCCTGCGATGTCGCGCACACTCCAGGCACGCCCTGCCCACTCTCCACGCGCCGCCTGCCCGGGCACCGCCTCCCTCACAGGAACGGCCCCCGCCTTATGTCCGGCATCTGCAGCAGAAGCCCACCGAGGAGTGCGCTTACCCTGCCCGGCAGGGCTTCCCGTCCCGCGGAGAGCCCACCGTGTGCTGCGCTGGGAGGAAGGACACCGTCCCTTCGTAGCAGTGATGGGAGAGGAAGTTCTTTAAACCTGGGGACGGAGTGGCCGAGAGACATCCACAGTCAGCGTTCGGCCACGACACCGCGATTTTAACCTCTGCAGGGTCGGCGAGGGCGAGCGACGGCAGGGGAGCGGCGTGCCCTCCAGGCGACACCTAGCAGGAGCTGGGCACCCCTTCCCGGCCGGACACACAGCCCCGCCCCCGATGGGCATTCTCACGGCAGGGGGACAGTACTTGGCCACGTGCGCCCGCCCGCAAGGGAGCGGCCACAGGAGGGCCCGACTCCTGCTCGGTTCCGCCTGAACTCAGCCAGCCGGATCACCTGCCGGGCCTGGCGTGGGCTGGGCCTGTGGACTGCTCTGGGCGTGCCAGTGAGCGGAGCCCACATCCAGGGCGGCACCAGGGAGGGGCACGAGTACCAGCCCGGACCACCTCTGCCCTGCTCCTCCACTTGGGGCTGGTGAGGGCACCGAGCACACCGAGCCCCCAGGGAAGGGCGGCTGCTCCACTGCCCGGCTCACCTGCAGGGTGGCCTCTTTTTTGGGGGGAGAGATTTTCACTGTAGGGCGCGTGCGCTCGCCAGACAGACAGAGAGAGACATAGAGACAGAAAGCGAGAAATCACCTCCCAGGGGGGATGGTCACGCCGCAATCCCTTCTCCTCCATTCTCCTCTCGGGATCTTGGGCACGCACGCACACGCGCCCGGCGTGAGTTTACCGCGGTTGACTACGTGGGAGTCCAGCGACATAGCCATTACGCTAACTGCTGGTTCCCCAGGGTGGCCTCTTATCCAAACCCGCGTCCCTGCTCCCGTCTGCGGCTGGGCAGCCCCAGTGGTCCCGAAAACTCGAAGGCCCTCTTCCCACACCGTGCCTCCCAGCCGGTGAGACCCCCCCACCTCGTGGAGAAGGTTTCCTGGCTGTACGTGGGGGCGGGCTCTGACCACAGGAAGCCCCAGAGGTGTCTGAGCAGGGTGTAGGCGGGACCCTGTCAGATGCTGCTTCGGGTGGGCAGGCGTGGAGGGGCTGTGCTGTGCGCCCCCCGGCTCCCAGGCTGACCGGACCACACGCATCCTGGTTCGCCCTTCCCTCACAGAGCCGGCCTCGCCCTCTCAGAATCCCCTTCCTAATTAACGTCTGGGTAAACCTAACTGACATTTCCTGTACTTTCACTTTGAAGTTTTAATTCAATTTGAGTTTTTAAGCCATGGAAAGCTTACCGAGTTGCTTACTATTCCTTTCTCTCAAAAAAGGGGTTAGAATTTAGCATTTAGACATTATTTGACTTTAGGGACCAGCCGGTGGCATGGTGGCTAAGGTGCTGGACACTCCCCCATAGCTGACCAGTTCGAGTCCTTGACCTGGTGGCGTACTTTCTCTCTCTCTGTGTCCCTCACTGGTCAAAATAAGTAAATAAATAAAGTTAAGTAAAATAATTATTTTTAAAAATGATTCAACTTAATTTATGACAGATATGCCCAAAAGTAAGCTCTAAGAGGTGGAACCTAAGACGCGATGTTCATTAAGCACAGCCTGGGGGTTCATCTGAACCTCGTGCTTCAAACACCACGTCTTTTCCAGGTTCTTTTTCTGCATCTGGAAGCTGAGATGACATGCCCCCCAGCCCGCCCCGGCTGAAATGTGCAGGCCGGGTCTCTCCGTGTCATCGGGCGACCTCTGGCTCTGGCTCCCTGGCAGGCCGTGGCTGCCGCCAGTCACAGGAGGTGTTGGGGGACCAGGCTTGGGCCCACCCAGACCCAGGTCAGGAACTCTGGGTTTCTGAGCCTCCAGGGGGCGCTAGTGCCCGCCCAGGCTGAATCCTGGCCTGCACTCGGGCTGGTCCTTAGCCTCTGCCTGCTGGGGCAGGAGTGCCCGCTGTGAGCCGTGAGGGCTCTCAATCAGGTGGCCTTTTGAGAGCAGGCGTGACATGGCGTCTCCTCCATACCCACAGCACACAGGACTCTGCCGCCCACGGTGTCTGAGCGAGGCCTGGCAGGGAGCAGCCGAGCGCACGCGCAGGGCGGTGCAGGCCGCTGTGCCAGAAGCCATAGCCAGGCGCTAGCACGGATGTCACCGCTGTTTCTCGCCACCGGCACTGATACACTCAGAGTGATGATAAAGCACTTTTTTCCCTTAAAACTCCCACTTCGGCTGCCCCAGGTGGCTGGTTACCATCCATGCCTCACTCTCAGGGGTCCCGTCAGTCCAAGACTCAGTGGAGCCTACCGGGTTTGCCTACGCTGGGCCCCGAGGACAGGATGGGGCACAGGGTCCGGGTTTCAGTGCAGGCCTCCCGCCTTGCTCCTGGGCCCTGCTCTGCCCAGCACAGACCACAGCAGAGCAGCCCCGGCTCCCTCTGCCAACGGCAGCGGTGGGTGCTTGGAGACGGGGCGGGCAGCACGGGCGAGGGTACCTGAGAAGTCGTATCTGACGAGGCCCATCCAGCGCTTCTTCTCGCTGTCCTTGATGATGTCCCCGTAGAAGCCATAGCCCAGCAAGGACACGGAGTAGCGCAGCAGCGAGCTGTGGTGGTGCACCGCCGACACGTCCATGGCCAGTGAGTCTCCTGCGGGGAAGCCGAGCGGGCCACGTTCCCTCCCACCCCGCGCTGCGACCGCCCCGGCCCCACAGTTCTGTGCAACCGGAGGGGCTGCCTTGGCCAACAGCACTGACGGGACGTGTCTAACGCGACGGCCATCGCTCTCGGGCACTGGGCCTGTGTTTCTGATCCGAACGACAAAACGGACTCAAGTTTCACAAACGGGCTGGGGTGGCTGCGCCGTGGGCCAGAAGCTGGTTAACGCTGACGTCCGAAAGGAAGGGGGCTTTGAGACTGCGGGGAGCGTGCGTGGCTTGCTGAAGTACGGGACAATGGGTGCAGTTCTTCGCACGGCCTTGGTGACTTCAGCAGCACGCGAAGCGGGGCCACAGGACAGGGAGGGCAGGTTCGGCCAGATCGAGCTCCCTGGACAGCACTCCTAGTGCCCACCCGTCTGTGGCCCCCAGAAGCAGTGGCTCTGAGCCTGGCATGCACTTCGCAGAAGGATGTGGCTGGGTGCCCACCCTGCCCAGCACTGACGCAGCAGACATGCATGAGGGGCATGGCAGCTTCCTGCTGCCTCTGGGGAGAAGGCAGAGAGGGCACGAGACATAAGAGGATAGCAGGAGGCCACCCTCTGTGGGGACAACCAGGGAGCTGAGGCTGCGTGTGCAGGCCAGGCCAGGGAGGCCTGTCCCGACCACGTGGTGCAGGGGCTGGGCAGGAGGACGAGCCAGGACGTGCCCAAGCCTGAGGGCAGCACTGGTTGCAGTGGATGAGGTCCTGGGCAGCCGACACGAGGTGCCAGGGCACCCCACTCCCGGGTTCTGGGCAGAGGTGTGGCTCTCTGGGCTCCTGTCTGTGAAAGGTCCCTCCCACTGGCCCAGAGAGGCAGAAAGGTGAGGGGCACACAGCAGAGACAAGACGGAGCAGGGGCTCCACCTGACAGCAGCTGTGGTGCCACAGGACAGCAGGGAAGCGAGGGGGCTGCCCATTCCCGTGAGCACAGGGCCCAGCTCTCTACGTGGAACGTCTCGCCCTCAGACAGGGACTCACCGACGATGATGTGCAGAGCAGATGTCTCCGCGTCATTTGTGCCCACCGTCGAGTAACACACACAATCTGTGGACCCTGAGGAGGACAGAGAGGCCCTCAGGCTCACCGCAGCCGCTTACAGCTGTGCAGGCTCCCCACGACACGACTGGCCCAGCTCCCTTCCTCCGCGACGGTGGATACCGGCGACATGGAGAGCGACGCCGCGTAACGCCAGACAGTGCCCGACGAACGTCAGCTCCAACCATGGCTAGGGGAGCAGCGCGCCCACTTCGGCCCCGGTGACCCTCTGCAGGTGGCGGCCCTCTTCCACCCCGGAGCCCCAGTCACGGCGCATCAGCGGGAATGTGCACAAAAGCAAGGTCAGCCATGAAGGTCACGGGAGAAAGGAGCCGCCGAGAAGTTTCCCGAGACACGCTCGATGCCGGCGCCGTGCTTCCACACAGGCTGACCCCCATCAGAGGACAGCAGCCCCCAGCCGACAGGTGGTGGGGCACTACACCCCTCTGAGCCCATGGACCTGGGCAGGCAGACACACTCCGGGCCACAGCCAGGGCCTCCCCATCACCTGGAACTTCGGGTGGCCATGGTGTGGCCTCAGAGTGTGGGGAGAGGGCAGTGAGTGTCTGCGCGGGGCACACCTGGGTAGCCGGGGGCAGCAGTGCGGCCGGCCCTCCTCGCTTCATCCTGTCTGGCCATCTCACGGTCCAGGAGACTCTCTGAGATGCAGAGACTCCCCACTGTTATTTCTCAGTGACTCCTGAGCCCCCGGCTCAGAGGCTAACTCTGCAGTTTTGTGGGGCTAGGCGATCCGAGAGCAGCCATGGGCTGCACGGCAGTGTTCAGACAAACCCAGCGCTGCGGGAGACTGCACCAGGCCCGGCACAGGGGCACGTGCTGGGTGAGGCTGCTCCTTGGCAGCTGAGGTCACATGGGAAGCCCGGGTTCCACTCCCAGCCCACCCTCACAGCCAGGCATGACCGTAGAAAGGAAAAGAAACAAAGCTAGCAGGCGGCATGGCGATTGAGGCGCTGGACTCCCACGTGGCTGACCACGGTTTGAGTTCGGACTGGTAGCTTGGGAGTCATGCCGGGTGCGTGTGTGTGCAGGCCCAGGGGCCAAGAGGAGACCAGAGGAGAGGGGATTGCTGCGTGGCGCTCCCCCAGGGGGATGGATTTCTCACTTTCCCTCTCTCCGTCTGTCTCTCTCCAGTGGGCACATAAACCTATGGCAAAAACCTTGAAGAAAAATAAAAAAGAAAAGAGCTATTACAGCAGGCTCAGCACGCAGCACGGGCGTGTGGTGGCTACCCCAGCTGGGTTTGCTAAGCACACGCTGTGACGTTCCACGGACTCGCCAACGACATGTGTCCTGGAGCGTCTCCCCACTAAGCCACACCTGACTGTCTCACAGACATGCCAAGCAGCCCCTGCAGCCTAGTCTGGAGTTCCTACATCAGCCTTGGGGTGGGACCTGGCACTGCAGTGTCAGGGGCTAACAGGCACAGGAGCACCGCCCAGGTCCCAGGAGGCCCGACCTCTGCCGGTCTGCCGGCCGTGCATCCCCAGTGACCGCTGATGGCCTGAGAGGTCGCGGTTCAACTGTCTCTGGGATCTCTCAGATACCAGGATCTGGTCCCGCTTCAGACCAGAGTGGAAGGCTCTTAATTTCCACCCTAAGCCAAGGTATGGCTTCTGACGGTTGGTGACGTGCACACGCGCACACACACACGCACATGCACGCACACGCACACACGCACACACACGCACACACGCGAACACACACACACACCCAACATGTGTATTTTTCTTTTTAGTTACTCTTAACTCAGAGACTTGAGTGACATCTCATTTTTAAAATGAGCTGAAAAGTTAGGACAATGTAAAGGAACTTGATTTAGGAGTGATCAACTTTTAGAAGGTAATTTACAGTCCCTAAGCAAAACTTCGTGGCTTCGGCCCTCTCCTGCCCCCCCTCTTTATTGTTAAGGGTGTCCAAATAATAAGTCCCCAATTTCTGAGAACAAGCGTGAAAAGAGCTGTTGACCCAGAAGGGCCTGAGATGTCCTCCACACCCCGAGGACTCCTCATGGTGTCCACAGGGCCCTCCCCTCCGCGGACCAGCACCTTCTTCCCTCACAATCCACCCCTCAGGATGGAAGGCCCCGGACGCCGGCCCTGCCCCCGGTCGGTGGTAATCGTACATTCCATCATCTTTGGGGCCAGCTGATGGCGTGGGATAGGCGCTGGATCCCACGCGGCCAACGGGGCAGCTGGAGTCCCAGGTGCAGTGAACTGAAGACACGCTGGGCACGTACATGTGTCCCTGAAATCCACACGGGGGACTTGAGGGGGGACGACACTCGTGGCCCTCCCTCTCGGGGAGGTGCGCTCTCGTTCTCTCTCTCTGGCGAGGTACAGAAACGAGTGTGCAGTCCGTGGGGCTCAGCGATGACCCCAAACAAGAACGAGGCCCCGGCGCCCAGCTCTCGCTGCGCGCCTGTAAACGCAGGGCTCCGAAGTCCGTCCTGTACCTGCGGCCCGTCTGGCTCTAACTGCCCTCCGTCACACACTTCGGAAGGAAGTCTCACGAAGGGACGTGCGCGGGCTTTGCTCCGGGGGGAAAAGCAAACATTTCCTTGCCACCTCATCCTTTTGCAACCATAAGATTGGCCATCGGGTGGTGCCCAAGCTCGATCATCGTATCTGCTGACTGAGCTGCTCAAGGCGGTCCTTCCATGGAGGACCGTGGCTAGACAGAGGGAGACCAGACATCAGGCCCCCGCACACCAGGCCGGCTCCCGGGGCAGGGGTGAATGTGGTTTTTGGCAGGAAGTAAGGGGAAACTCGTTCTGTTGGACAAATGGGCCCAGAGCTCCCACAATGCTGAAGAGGGACGTTGGTTCACTGGGGCTGCTCCCGGGCTGGACCCACGTCTGCACTCCACGCTGTCCTTCTGGGGTACAGTATGTGGGGGACTGGGTCATCTCATAGGTCTCAGAGAGGATTTGCTGAAAAAACGAGATTTTCGTGGATGAAAAACCAAGGCACAGAGCAGCCTCTCCCTGCCCAAGGCCCTCCGCTCTCCGCTCCCCACTCCTGCTGTCCAGCACCCGGTTCGCGGCAGAGCCTTGGACACTGTGTGTCACTCCAGTCCGACCTAGCCACCATCTTGGAGGTCCTCTGGCCCTCAGGGGCCCCTCGGCCTTCAGGTGCTCTGGTGTGAACTCAGAGTTGGCCGTGTGGTTCCCTGACTCAGCTTCCGGGGAGCATGGAGCAGGCCCGGGGCACAGTCTCCTCTCAGCAGAGGGCTTCAGGACGCCCAGCGCGGCCCCCACTCTGCTAACCGGGCCACGTAGCTCGCCTTCCTGGTGCTGGAACTGGCACCCCTCACCCCCCGCACTGGGCACTTCTCGGTTCCAATGATGACTCCTCCAGAAGCCTCCCTGACATGTGAGGCCAAGTGACGGGGCCCTGTGTCCCCAAAGTCCCTCCCGTGTCCTCTAAGCACTGTGCTGCACTCCCCTGAACTGGCAGAGCATTGCTCCCTCCCAGGGCACCCAAACACAAGCACCTTGGTCGGTGACACAGTGCCTTGGGGGCCAGGCACCGGGCTGGGACGGGGCAGGTGGCTGGTGTGTACAGGAAGGGCCAGGCTAGAGGCCCCTGGACCAAGGAAATAGATTCCATGCCCGAGGAAATGCTGTTCAGAACCTGGACCTTTTCAGGCCTTTGAACCAGCTGGGTCCAGCGAAGGCCACACAGAGCCACTCAGTGGCTTGGCTGTTTCCTTTCGCCACTCTCTGGCTCAGATGAAGGCAGAACTGAGTTTGCCCAAGGTCGATCCCACACAGCCTCCCAAGGATCGCACTCCAGGAGTGATCTGTGGTCCCCAGGACTGCCCACACACATGGGACAGCAGTCCTGACCCTGGACATTCTTCACAGCACCCACCCGGGGCCCGGTGTCTGCCCGCCACTGCCCCAGCCGCCCAGTGGGCGAGCAGGACGGACCAGCTCCGGAGGGATTTCTCCTGCTGCTCCGGGCCCGCTCACGCCTCCTCACGCCTCGGTTATGTAACAGACACACTAGCTCCAGCGAAGAGAAGCAGACACAATTAAAGGATCAGGCTAGACAAAGGGTCGCAGGAGTGACGGTGGCCTCCTACAGATGTGCTGATACACATTCACGTGTAACCGGAGAGGCTGGACTCTGTGACACCCAGAGCTCTCACGGGCCTCACAGCAGCAGGAGACTAATCAGCTTTGAGCTAATCTGAGCAAGTAAACAGAGCCCTGGGAGGAAGGTTACCGAAGTTCAAAACCCCCAGGGTCCTGCATGGATAATGAGGGGATCCAGTGACTGGGGTGCTCACCATCGCCAGCCCTGCCTGCTGGGATCAGTCACCCAGACACGCATGCACGCGCCCGGGCCCAGGCACCAGGCACCGTGTGACCCAGCCTGAAGGAGGACAAGGTGAACTTAGAGAGGTCATGGGCCTGTGAGAGCCACAGGGGGGCAGGCGCCAGTGTCCGGTGAGGGTGGCGGCAAAGGAGTCACGCCCTGGCTCTCAAATGCATGGGGCCTTAGGGAGCCACAGCGCTGTGGCCACCAGCACTTGCAGAATCCGAACTCCACTGGAGCCGTCTGGCCAGCCCGAAATGTGGGCCCTGGGCAGGAGTGGACACCGAACACAGGGCTCACCCCTCCCAGCTGTGCTCAGTCAGCTGCCCAGCGACCTCCCAACACCAGGGCTGGGCTCATTGCCGGGGGCGCCGGAGGAAGGCCAAGCTCCCTGCTATGGGCACAGGAGCATCGGAGGGCCCAGGGCCCACCTCTGCACACGTCCCAGCAGCCTCTGACCACCCTCCTGCCTGGTCCTGCCTGAGTGTGAGAACAGAGGCCATGGGAGCCCAGAAGCCAGAGCAGGAGGAGAGGCCAGCCCCAGGCTCTGTCGCAATCTGACGGGATGTGTTTGTAACTGTCTGGTTAAACCATAGGGACGGCTGTCACCTGGGGGCCAAGGCTCTACTGGCTCAGCCAAAGGGCTGCATCTTCCCTGGGGTCCTCGGACAGGCAGGGCACCTGCGTCGGGCAGGATTCAGTTCCTGAGTGGCATGCCAAGCCACGACATTCTTCCAAGACCAACAGGAGACAAGGTCCCCCTGTACGAAGAACTGCCCAAGACACCTTCCCCGGGGTTTATCCTTCAAAACACAACGTGGCCTCGGTGGGGATTACGGACTCACTAGCTATCAGGCCAGCACGGATCCTGAACCAGAACAGCACACACCCCATCCAAGGGGCGACCCGACCCCACCGTCATTTACAGCATCTGTTCCCTGCTCACTGGACACACACGGCCACCTGTCGGGGACTGGAGGGCTACGATGGCGCCGCTGTGACTGAGGCTGAGGCGTGCCGAGAGGGTGGCTCCAGGGCTCAAGGTCCCTCCTGCAAGGTGGCCAGGCTGGTGCCCCCACTCTGTTCTCAGCTGGCCACCTGCCACTCCTCTCTGCATCCATGACACGAGCATAATCATGGCCTTCCCCTCACTGAGCTGTGATGAGCCCAAGGCCATGACGTGACATGCTTGCCGGGAACATGGCCTGCAGCCAGGGCAGGTGCCCCCGACGGAGGGGCCAGACGCAGCGGGGCAGCAGTGGGAGCGCTCACTGTTTGCAAAGCCTCGGACCAGCCACGCACAGCCCTCGCCGTTACTCGGCTCCACAGGATGGTTCTTCAAAGAACAAGTGCTTCCTGGGAAGAAGTGAAGTGCACAGAGGCAAACCGACCCTGCGGGGCAGAGCTCTGCTCTCCCAGGGGAGGGTGACACCTGCCCCAGCGCCCCCCAAGCGGCCGATTCCTGCCCCTATGCGTGTCTGCTGCCCAGCCCGACTTCCCGCGTCTTCACCCGCGAGAGGTCACCTCTTCCGGGACGCCCTGACAGCCTGCCCACCAGCTCCCTGGGCATGGCCACTTCCTGCCCCCAAGACTGCAGCCCCAGCCACAATTGGCCAGTCCTCTCAGAGCAGGGACCACACCCCGTCAGCCGTGCGGGTCTTGGCGCCTTGTGTGAAGCTGGCGTCGGTGGGTGGAGAGGTCAAGCAAAGCTCCCTATGAATTCACGCCAGTGCTCGGGCCTGCCCAGCTGTGAGTGTGCAACGGCAAGGGTGGCATGGCAGGGCTGCAGCTGCACGGGGGCTCGCGGTTGGGTCCCGGCCCAGCCGCCCAGGCTGAGCACAGAGGTGCAGCTGTGGCCCTGCTGACAGCGCTGGGGCAGGACGGTGGCATGGAAGACTCTGAGGGAAACACCCCTCCCCCTTCTATAAGTATGGGATACTTACGCAGCGATAAGAACCTAATGAAATAAAGGAATGAACCTGAAGGGGAGAAACAAAACTAATGCCGCCGCCAGCAGCCCTAATTATAGACACGGTGCCGTGAGGCCCAGCCGCTGGGGTGCAGAAGGCATGCACCAGCCTTGCAAGGCTGGGGGCCACATGCTGCAGGCGTCGACCCCCGGTCGGCCTGAAAGCACACCCCAGGGTCCTGGGGAGCTGCAGGGCTGGGGAAGGGACCGCGGCACGCGAGGCCTGTCGAGGGGCTCTCTCTCCTTCTCTCGCCATCGCTCGCGCACACTACCACAGAAGGGAAAACCGTCCTGTCTGAACCAAGCAGCCACCGGCCCTCCAGGGCGGCTGATGCGGCGTGTTCCCGCAGGCGCCTTACCTGCAGGGATGATGCCAATCCTGAGGGCGGGGGGCGCCAGCACGGCGCGGGGCTGATGCTGGTCAATGCCCGCCCTCCTCTGTGTGCTCCCGATCAGGCCGTGCAGGACCTCGCTGAACATGCCGTCACCTCCGACACAGACGACGCTGCAGGGAGGGCACGGCTGCTCAGGGCCCCTCAGCCAGGTCCTCCAGTCCTCTGGGAGGGACACGGCTGGGCAAGGCCCCTTCCACGTGGTTCTCCGGGAGGGGCAGGGCTGGGCAGGGCCCCTTCCACACGGTCCTCTGAGCACTGCGGCCTAAGGCCTCCCATTTCAGAAGGGGCAGCCTGCAAGCTTGGCCCCTAGCTGGTGTCTGGGAGCTTGGTTCTGAAACACCCCTAGGAGATAGAGTTGCACCTCTGTGATCCTCCCGGAGTCTCTAGGGAAGGGGGCCGGGGTTCAGAATCTGGCAAGGCTGCCGGCAGGAGGACTCTGGAAGAGTGCAGCCCATGGGGGACACTCCTGGTAGGGAGGGGCGGGAGGGGCTCCCGTGGGCAGCTGCAAACTGGTCCCCCATGGCTCCCGTGGGACTTTGGCACCACTGTGGGCCAGGGCTTGGCAGAGGCTCAGGAATGCTTGTGGAATGAATAAGGATTCCAACAAATATGCATACTGTGTCTTACAGCCGTCCTCACAAGATCCAGACGGAACAGATGAAAACAAAAAGTCGACCACCACAAAGCAATCGTTAGTAAGTACGGGGGACAGTCAGACTCAAGATGAAGATGGAGTTTCTAAGCACAAAGAAAAGCTTAGAACGAGGTGAACAGATTTGGCTTCGTACATGGAAAATGTCCGCTGGCCCAAAAGCATGCCACATGCAAAATTAAAAAACTAGGAGAAATATTTGTAAAACAATATGACAATAGGTATGAATTATCTGTTATTTGTTGGAAAAAAGAATGAATGATTGAAATTATGGCCCATAGAAGAAATGAGCCAGAGATATTAAAGCAATTCAAACAAGAAAACCAGTGAGCCAAAAACGTGTTTCTTACAAAATTAAAGTTTCTTTTTTCTTTTTTTTTTTTGACAGCTTTTTGTTATAGGGCGTGTGGACTTGCCAGAAAGATAGAGACAGACAGACAAGAAGCAAGAAATCACCCCCCAGGGGGGTGGCCACGCTGCAGTCCCTTCTCCTCCATTCTCCTCTCAGAATCGTTAGTAAGTACGGGGGACAGTCAGACTCAAGATGAAGATGGAGTTTCTAAGCACAAAGAAAAGCTTAGAACGAGGTGAACAGATTTGGCTTCGTACATGGAAAATGTCCGCTGGCCCAAAAGCATGCCACATGCAAAATTAAAAAACTAGGAGAAATATTTGTAAAACAATATGACAATAGGTATGAATTATCTGTTATTTGTTGGAAAAAAGAATGAATGATTGAAATTATGGCCCATAGAAGAAATGAGCCAGAGATATTAAAGCAATTCAAACAAGAAAACCAGTGAGCCAAAAACGTGTTTCTTACAAAATTAAAGTTTCTTTTTTCTTTTTTTTTTTTGACAGCTTTTTGTTATAGGGCGTGTGGACTTGCCAGAAAGATAGAGACAGACAGACAAGAAGCAAGAAATCACCCCCCAGGGGGGTGGCCACGCTGCAGTCCCTTCTCCTCCATTCTCCTCTCAGAATCTTGGGCACGCACGCACACACGCCTGGCATGAGTTTAAGCCACTCTGGGTCTGAGACTCAAACCACGGTCGACTACAAGGGAGTCCAGCGACATAGCCATTACACCAACTGCTGGTCCCCCAAATTAAAGACTTTTACAAAAGATTTTTACAAAGATTTTTTTCTGTCAAATTGGCAGAAAAAAAATTTTTTAAAAATTTGCCATGGGGTTCCTGTGCTGAGAGAGACAGAGAAAGAGAGGGAAGTGAGGTAACCTGAGGGTGGCCATGCCTCAATCTCGCCTCCTCCACTCCCCTCTCAGGACTGGGGGCATGCTTTTCCAGCTGTCAGGTCCGGGACTTGAACTACATGTGTGGGATCCAGCCGCCTTAACCACCCCAATGCTGGCTCACCCAGCAGAACATCTCACAACGATAACACCAAGTATGACGCGGACAGGGCGTGGCAGGCTCCAAGAAAGAATGTGTACAGACAGACTTTTAGGATGCAATATGGCGATATAGAGAAGAGATTCTATTCTCTTATGACTCTAGGAAGTTACCTTGAAAAAAATGTAGCTGCATGCACAGCCATCCCACACAGGGATGCTACATTATACAACGGCACAAACTGGCAGGCCTGTGAACATCTAGGAGTGAGACGAGTTCAATGAATTATGAGACAGCCATATGGTAGAATATGATACAGGCCTTAAAAATGACGGTTCTGGGAAATGACAGAATGTAACAGGATAGCGGAGTCCGAAACTAGGAAAGCGACATCCTGTGAGCTTTACGTGACTGACCTCCATGCCCACGGGGGCTACGTAATCACGTCTTATAAAGTCTGTGGAGGAGCCCAGGGGTTAAGTGAGCTGGATCCCACACGGCTGCCTGTGGGCAGATCCTGGCTAGGTGGCTCCAAAACAGTCGGGGATCATGTGAATGTGTGCCCAAAATCCCGACAGGAAGGAAAGAAGGGGGAGCAGGTTGTGGCGGGGCCACGCCGCACTGGGGGTGCTTTCTCCCTCTCTCCTGGGGAGCTCAGCAGCCTCTGGCAGCCTATCACCAAGACTGACAGTGGTCCACGCACCGGCGCCTCCAGGCTTTCTGCCTCTCCGGCCTGTCCCTAACAGCATGCTCACGCCGACAGTCAGAAAGCATGGCAGCGAAGGGCACGAGAGAGCGGGGCAGCGCGTGGACGCAGGACGCGGTCGGGGAGGCAGGCCACTCACCCGTCGTACTTGTCTACGTTCATCTCGTACAGCGTCTCCTTGGCCTGGTTGGCGTGCTCAGTCACTGTGGGAGAAAGCCATTACACCGAGCGTTTACACGCACATCTGTGGTCTTTATTTAAAACACAGGGCGTTGGGGTGGGCAGCAGGTGGCACAGCAGTTAAGGCGGTGGACTCCCACACGGCCGACCATGGTTCAAATACCGGACCTAGTGGCTTGAAACCCATGACAAGCATATGTGCATGTGTGCCCCAAATCCCAAAAGAATAGAGGAGAAGGGATTGCAGCATGGCCATCCCTGAGGAGTGATGTCTCGCTTTCTGCCTCTCTGGCGAGCACACACCCTAGAGCAAAAATCCCCTTAGAAAAAAAAACAGAAACAACACACAAAAGGTCTTCAGAAAGTGTGAAATGAGCATTACAAAAAAAACTCAGCATGGGGGCCAGCAGGTGGTATGGTGGTTAAGTTGCTGGATACTCACACATGGCCAACCATGGTTCAAGTCCTGGATCTGGTGGCTTGCTTTCTCACTTTCCCTCTCTGTCTCTCTCTGGTTAAATTAAAATGGATGAATGAATTAAAAAACAAACAAACAAACAAAAAAAAAAAACTAAGCATGGATTTACATGGAATCAACTCGTATTTTGGTTCCATTTTTCTGTAAACGTTCTGAAGTCCCCTTGTAAATGATAGGCAAACCATTCTTTTCGATTGAGGTCCTATAATACAATACCTTCGGGAAGTTTTGCTGTAAGGAATCCCTAAGACGGATTTAGATCTTACCTAAATCCCTCTTACAGAGAGGGATCAAGCTACCCTCAGAGGGACACGGCCATTCTCAAGGCACAGTCTACGTGGGTGAGCCACGACATTCTTGGCCTCTAAACGCCAACAAATAACAGTTTCTTCAAAAGAGATGACATCTTCTGTTTCATTATTTTCCCTTATTATTCAAGCTACTGCCAAGATTCTAAAATATACCAAAATATAGAAGTGTCTACAGTCAGGACCAGCAGATGGCATAGTGGTTATGTCAGTAGACTTCCACAGGGCTGACTGTGGTTCAAGTCCCCGACCCGGCAGCTTGAAACTCACACACATGCATGTGTGCATGCCAAAATCCTGGGAAGAGAACGGATTGTGGCGTGGCCGCCCTCAGGGGCTGATTTCTCACTTTCCCTCTCACTATCTCTGTCTCTCTCCAGCAAGCACACATGACCTAAGGCAAAAACCTCTTAAAAAAGAAAAAAAAAAGTCCACAGAAATGCCCAAAGCAAAAACCAGAACTGTCACTGAGATTCTGTTGCACCCCAACTTTGTACCCCGTGATCTCATTTTATCACAACCGCAACTTTTTCTTAAGTTTATTCTCAGATGTGTGCACACCTGGGAGAGACAGAGACAGACAGAGAGAGGGGGGAGTGAGAAATCAGTCCCCACGGGGCATGGCCACCCCATAACCCATCTCCTCCATTCTCTTCTCAGGATTTTAGGCGTGAACGCACACAAACCTGGCATGTTTTTCAAATCACTGGATCCAGGACTTGAACCGTGCAGTCGACAATGTAGGGCCCAGTGACATTAACCTCCTGATGGCCCCAGATCACTTTTTCATTAGAAATTCTTTATAAAAGCTATCTTAAAGAGTTCCCTGCTACCCTCAGGTGTACCACAACCGTGAACCCACATCTGCTCGAGGACCCTCGCATTGTCCCTAGTTCTTACGTTACAGAGAGCGTAACAGTGGGGTCTGTGGGCCTCAGTTCCTATGTCTGAGTGTCCTGGGAGATCTTTGGAAAACAGAACACCAGGCAAAAACCAAAACCCTCATGTTTTTAGGCTCTTGACCCACATTTCAAGTGACTTCTGAATGCGCACGCCAAGCCCTGTGCACAGTCTCTCATCCCAACACTGCGTCGGGAACACAGTGCCCAGACGTGGTGTCACGGGATGTGTCACTCAGTGGTGAAATTATTCCTAATATTTTCTCTTTTTTTTTAAGAGCGATTTTTGCCATAGGGCGTGTGCGCTCACTGGAGAGAGAGAGAGATAGAAAGCGAGAAATCACCCCTGAGAAGGGATGGCCATGCCGCAATCCCTTCTCCATCCTCCTCTTAGGATCCTGGGCACACACACACATGCCCCTGGTGTAAGTTTTAAGCCATTGGGTCTGGGATTCGATCTGCAGTCGACTATGTGGGAGTCTAGCAACATAAGAAATATGTCATCTGCTAGTCCCTATTATTACTTTTTTAAAAACTTGTTATAGGTCACATATGCTCACCAGAGAGAGAGACAGGAAGAGAAGCAGAGGAAGAGTGAGAAAGCCAGCCGCCAGGTCTGGGACTTGAACCATGGTTAGCCACGTGGGACTCCAGCACCCCAACCACCACACCACCTGCTGGCCCCAACCCCTTTAAATTTATCTTTTTTTTTTTTTTTTAGGTAAGTATAAATTTATCTTTTTTTGCAGAATATTCTGTGTATGGTCTTGGACTTTCATTTTCTTCAGCACTTTATAGGCTAAGACTTGGCTAGAAAAGACTGCATTCTTTATTCTGTAAGATTCCAATTTGGGTATGTTTTTTAAACTCCATATTCTTGGGACCAGTAGTTAGCATAATGGCTATGTGACTGGACTCCCACATAGTCGACCGTGGTTCGCGTCTCGGACCCGGTGGCTTAAACTCACGCCGGGCGCGTGTGCGTACGTGCCCAAGATCCCGAGAGGAGAATGGAGGAGAAAGGATTGCGGCGTGGCCATCCCCCCTGGGGGGTGATTTCTCACTTTCTATCTCTCTGTCTCTCTCTGTCTGTCTGGCGAGCACACGCACCCTATAGCAAAAACCTCTCAAAAACAAACAAACAAACAAACAAAAACTCCACTTTCTTTAAAACAATATTATAGGATAAAATATTCTCTAGTGACTCTTTTTTTTTTTTTTGGAGAGATTTTTGCTATAGGGCGTGTGCGCTCGCCAGACAGAGAGAGACAGAGAGACAGAAAGTGAGAAATCACCCCCCAGGGGGGATGGCCACGCCGCAATCCTTTCTCCTCCATTCTCCTCTCGGGATCTTGGGTACGCACGCACACGCGCCCAGCATGAGTTTTAAGCCACCGGGTCTGGGATGCAAACCGCGGTCGACTGCGTGGGAGTCCAGCAACACAGCCATTACGCTAACTGCTGGTTCCCTTCTCTAGTGACTCTTTTGTGTAACTCTCAATTGCTCTTCTCCACACTAGCAGGGACCATTCCCCTTACCAATGACCTCTGTGCTGATGGAGGCCAGTGTGAACAGCGGCGCCACCTTCCTCTCGTAGATCTGCTTGCCGTGTCCTTTCCCTCCGAACGGATTGATAAACACCAGCAAATGCTTTGGTCTTGATGCTACAAGACAAAGAACAAGCAAGTCCCAGTGAATACGACAAAAGCAACACGGAGGACAGCGTTACTGGACAAAATCGAACCACGAGGGTTCGAGCTCTGTTTGGTCGTGAATCAGAAGTATTTTTAAGTCCTGAAGAACCACAGTCAAGACTCAGCTGTGGTAGCATGTGCCTGTGGCCCAGCAACAACTTGTGGAGGCTGAAGTAGGAGGACCCAGCAGCAAGACCATCTTTAAACTAAAAAAACCCGAAACTGCGATTCCTGGAAGGCAGCAGACTTATCCTGCAGAGAAAAAGAGTGAAAGCTATGTGCAGAAGGGCCATTGGGAGAGGCCGACACACAGAGGAAGAGAGAGAGAGCTGGCCATGGAGACGGACGGACAGAGATACAAACAGCCTCCCTGGCCCCGTGTCACTGCCCTGAGCCCGGCTAGACTCCTAACCTGGGTTCCCTGAGGCCCCGTTTCTAATCACAACTTCCACACTTCCGTTTGGGTCAGTTCCAGCAGGTTCTGCTACTAAGAAACCAAGTCTGACTAACGAATCAGCAGCAGTAGCAAGAAGGCACACCGCCAGGAAGTGGAGGGCCTAAGCCCACGCTCGGACGTTCAGCACAGCGTCATCCACCATGGCCCTAACGTGGAGGCACCAGGGCCCACCCACCGGGGCGTGGGCGACCAAAATGTGGCCTCTCTGTGTGACAGGACAGTCAGTCCTCAGCCCCAAGAAGGGACGATAAGCCAATGCACCACCTGCGTGAACAAACAGCCAGACCGGTGTGCCGAGAAGCGGAGCCTCGCACAAAGCAGCTCGGACCCCATGAGCCCGTGGGGTGGAGACGTGTCCACTGCATGGCATGTCACCGGTTCCCAAGGCAGAGCAGGCACGGCTCCCTCCGTCAGCAACGTGGGCGCTGAAGTGGGTCAGGGCGAAGTGCCACTTGGGCCTCCACTGTGTTTTGAAATGCAGCAACGCCCTGGGTAAGTGACAGAGGAAAGGACGGATGGATGGACACCGGCGACACAGACAGTGCGGCCAGCTGTAAGGGCTTGGGGAGAGTGCACGAGGGCTCGCTGTACGGTCTCTCCACTTTCTCTGAGTCTGACCATTTCCTACTATACCAGGCAAATAATACAGCCGAGGAAATCGAGGAAGCTAGAAGCCGATTCTTTAAAAAGACTTAAAAAATTGATAAATCCCTAGTAGAAGGGATACAGAAGGGGCCAGCAGCTGGTGCAGTGTCAGAGCACTGGACTTTGACATGGCCAACCGTGGCTCGAGTCCTGGATCCAGCAGCTTGCACAAGATATGCAGACATCAATTAAAAATGTGTTATAGGGGCCGACAGGTGGCATGGTGGTTAAGGTGCTGGACTCCCACATGGCTGACCATGGTTTGAGTCCCAGACTTGGCAGCCTCCTTTCTTACTTTCCCTTTCTCTTTCTGTGTCTCTCTCTGGTCAAATTAAAAACTAGTAAGAAATAATGTTAAATAAATAATTCTTTTTAAAAAATGTATTATAGATCTAGGGGCCAGTAAGTGGCATAGTGATTAAGGTGCTAGACTTCCACATGGCTGACCGTGGTTTGAGTCTCAGATCTGCTGGCTTGAAAATCACACCTTGGGGCCAGCAGTTAGCGTAATGGCTATGTCGCTGGACTCCCACGTAGTCAACCGCAGTTCGTGTCCCGGACCCAGTGGCTTAAATCTCACGCCGGGTGCATGTGTGTGCGTGCCCAAGATCCCGAGAGGAGAATGGAGGGGAAGGGATTGTGGTGTGGCCATCCCCCTGGGGGG